CACCCCCACTTCCCTTGCGGGAATTATTTTGGGTGGAGGGCTGCTTACTGAGTTTTGGCAAGCCATCAATGGCCACATGACAGGTAGCCAGGGGCAGATAAATATTAATTTTCTAAATTTTGTGGGGGCCCCTCAGGCCAGATAAAATGGCCTGGCAGGCTACATCTGGCCCACGGGCCACATTTTGCCCAACCCTGACCTAGTAGATAGTAAAATTCCATTTATAGATATGTTTTTATGTGGCTTAATTGAGGTAAGTAGTCATACTGTAGCAATGGCTTCATGTGTAGCAAAATAATGGAGGTGGAATAGTAGTGAGGCTGTTATCCCCAGAAAACTCAGTCAGAGCTAGGGGTAGACATTGCAACCAGCCACGCTGCAACCCCAGGTGTCATGGCACTTTAGTTTCTTTGGGGTAGCATGCTCAGTATGCCATACTTAGGGCAACTTATGCAGGTGCCCACTAGCCCTTGGGGGCTGCCTAGTAAACACTTGTGTACTCTTAGCTTTATAAAATATGTTACTAATGTAATGTGTAGAATGAAAAAGTGTGACTATTTCAGGTGTAAACTTAGAGTTGCAACAAGAAAAAGAACAAGCGATTCCCATCTTAATTCTTACAGGCTGTCTGATAGGAAAGCCACAAAGTTGCTTGGACCCGACGCACATGCTTCTAGTCTGTCCTTCTTGTAGTAGGCAAATCAGCACTGGCCTGTAGATCCCCAGTGGACAGACCTCCACCTTCTTTGGATTTTTTTACATTGTTCTTTAAACCTTATAGAAATGTTGTCTCTCATGTCACATGCTGATAGGTTGTTTCCCAGGGCCTTCTACCACCAACAGCCTACTTCCATGCTGGAATCTTGTCCTTGAAACCTAGCCTAAAAAGGCCTGATCTTATTCATGGCCACCTGGTAACTGCCTGCTGTTTATGCTTCCTGTTTCTTTACTGAAATCCAGTGCCCTTGCATGCCATGGTTTTTTCCATTTCATTTGGCACAGGGTTGTGCAACTCAAACTTTATTGTGAGCCACTTGCAAATTTATTTTTCCAGTGGAGGGCTACCACTTTTGGGACTGGCTTTGAGCCCTCAGCAAATTTGCAAATGGGAAAGTGGACTACACATCCAGGTACACGCACACATTAATGAATTATTGTACGCTGTGGACACAGAGCTCACTGGTTTGCTTTTCAAGTTCCATTTCTTTTAATAAAATGTTTTAATAAAGAATTATGCTGAGGAGCTGGATGCTGAAATGAACACCTACCTTAACCAGCATGTAGTCCATGTTCCCCGCCCTACTCATGCTGGATGAGTATGTTGGTACTGCTAATGAAACAGCAGGGTTGCTACATCGGTGTATACTTAAAAGACTTTGTTTAATTTAATTTCTACTTGCCAATAAAAAGGTAGAGGGCTGAATTCTTTGATACTGATATTGAAGATCTGGTCTCAATATATTCATAGTCTCTTGTAGATTTGTTATGTAATTTAAGTGAAATGTTAGTGATGTTTCTTTCTTTCTTTTTCTTTTCAAGTAACCACCTGACCTCAAAAGGCAGGCTGTATGAATGTCAAAAGAGCAAATTACAGTTGTAGTTTCTGGAGAGGATAATAACAGTTGGGGATGGGTCCTGCTTTTGATCTGTTGGTTGGACTAAATGACCTCCTGAGGTCCCTTCCAAACCTTATTTTCTATGATTCTATGAATAGGTAGAGCTGCAAGTTTTAATCTCTCATGACAGTGCTTTTAGCAATATCCTAAACCTCTATGGTCTTTCTGGCAATTATACCATTAAACTGAAGCCAGCTAGAAATTTTGGGATATGATAATCCATTTCTGCTAAGAGATGATAATAGAACTTGTCTACAGTACCTCAGTGATGCTCACAGACTGCAACTGTTGGAAGCCACGTACCCAAAAATTAATTATGATCAACTGAGAGCTAGAGCCCATATTTATTAAGAATTATTTGTACAGTCCATAATCATTGTGCTCCCCCAGGACTCTCAGTTCTTTATTGTAAACTCTTACTTTCTGCCCCTCTATTATAAGACATGGAAGCCTTTTCTTATTCAGCATGTTCTGAAAATAAAGTGATAAAAAAAAAGATTGATACTGTTCATTTCTGACTTTAATGCCTGAAATTTCTTGGCCTTCATGTGCTGTCCTTTGGCAGTAGTACTACACTTAATGAAACTTTAATCTGGAAAATTATTTCTTCATTTATTATTAAATCATGTCTTTTTCATGTTGGACCAAATCCAGATCTCCTTACAAAGTTCTTACTCTCCTTAGAACAGCAAAACTGTCATTAAAGTCAATGGAGTTTTTGTCCCAGTAAGGGCTTTGATATTTAGTCCATTGCAATTTTGCTCTCAACATAATTGCATTTCAAGGCCATGGGCTAGATTAATGTAAGGCCTGATAGTTAAAGCTGGACAGGTTGGCATGTATACATTTAGAATTCATGGAACTTGTCCAGCTCTGAGCTTGCTCTTTAGATGAATGTTATCATCAGATAACTGTAATGAGGCTGTTCATACTGTGGCTTTAGAGGCAGTACTGTACAAAAGTCTTCAGTCTGCTGAGAGCTAGCAATCTGTGTATTCCTCCATTTGCAATGTGCAAATACATTTTTATTATTTTTTATTCCAGGACTGAGAATTTAGCCATAGCCTCTCCCGTAACTGAGTGAAGTGAGAAACTGGACAGATGCCCTGCAGAACCCCACTGCCCACGTCCTTCCAAGTTGAGAAGGACC